GCGAGGAACCAGCGTGTGCAGGTGGCTGCAGACTGGTTCCTCGCTCGCGGATTTTTCTACCCTGAAGATAGGGGCGATACTTTCCTCCGAAACGTCTGTTTGCACTAGATCTACACGACGCTTCATAGTCACCGCCGTGAAAACCTCAAATCTACATGAATATGTTTGTAATATTATTTATATAGGAATATGGTAGATTTGTATCATTTGCATTATTTTTCCAGCTGGCGACTTTGTGAAGTTCGGCTTCCCTATGGCCTACACGATTACCGTCCTGTCCTGGGGAGTTGTGGACCACGAAATAGGATACAAAGACGCAAGTTCGTATATTACAGCTATGTTTTAAGCATACCATTTACTGTTAAGTTACTGTATAATGACATGATTATAGTGCTTTGTGTTTCAGCATTTGTATGACTGCGTAATTCTATTTGTATGTGTCGCGATTCAAATTTCTCTCTACCGCTAAACACGAAATGAGATCCATTTTAATATTGTCCATCACCTACGCCTTGGTCTTCGCAGTGGTTCTTTCCAGCTGACTTTCCCACCAGTATTCTATTTGCATTCCCCTTTCCCCCATTCATGCTACATGCCCTGCTCATCTCATTCTCCTCAACTTGATCATTCTAATTATAAAGGGCTATCCTCCCAGAATTATATTTTCGGCAGGGTCAGATATTTTCCCCTCGCCACCTTCTCTTACTTCCGAAATTATGAATGAAATATATCACCCATTCAACCGCCACCGTGTGAAACGCACAGCGTTATGCTGGTGTTCTTATCATCAGTCGACATCAGTTCCGGTCCAATACTCTTCACTATGGACATAAAACATGTATACAAATGTGGAAAAGTTAAAATATTTAGAGATAAATGTACCTGCACAAAATTGCATTAATGAAGAAATTCAGAGCAGATTAAGTTCAGGGAATGCGTGATATAATTCGATATACAGAAAAACGCAAGGTTAAAATAGTAAGGAAAAAACTATGATTTTACCTGTGGTTTTTGTGGATCGGAGACTTATCCTCTAACATTAGCAGAAGAATATAGAGCAAGAAAGTTTAAGAGCAAGGTGCTCAAGATGGAAGGACGTAGCAGGAGGATGGAGAAAAGTGCATAATGGGGAGCTCCATAATTTACCATTTCCGTCAAAAATTATTCGGGCGACATATCAAGGAGAAGGAAACAAGTGAGGCACAGAACAAGTATGGAAGAAGTGAAATACAATATTAATAATAGAAGCTCGGTCGCGGAAACCTGAAGGGAAGAGACCACTTATAAGACCTATACACAAATGGAAGTTTATGAAAATGGATCTTGTCAGGGTGGGAGAATGTATATTAGATATATCTGGCCCAGGTTAGGGAGCAATAATCCTCTTATGAACACGCTAATGAACTTTACGCTTCCGTAAAAGACGAGGAATTTGACTAAATGTGTGATTAAATTATCTTCTCAAGAAGATGCTTGCTATATGGCGTTAAGGTAGGAGGACGCGCAAACCCTGCTCTTTGAAATTATAGAATTCTAGTGATGAAATATCTAATATTGTAAGAGAGCAGGAGGCTATTAACAGCAGAGCTTTCAGTATGTATCTTGTCACAGAAAACTTCAAACGTACTGAACCGACCGTCGAAGTCTGCAGGTTCTTCATGCGGATTGGACAAACCTTCATAGCGCACGAAATGTACGGTACTCACGTACACAGAAAATATCCTTGTATATTGTTTGCTGTTAATTTCACGTTCCGCTGTTCTAAAAAAGAAAAAAAAAATGGCTCTGAAGAGACTTAGATCCTTCGGACAAAATTATATGTATATGGCCCTCATAATATAGATGAAGAAGCGTTCCATATACATACACGGTTGGCCCCCAAGCGAATAATTTAAAGCGTCCTTTATCGAGGAAACAAATCTTTACTTGAATTAAATTTTTTATTTGAATTTCATAAAATGTGTAAAATTTTAAATTTNGCAGAAGGAACAAGTAAAAAACCAATTTCACAATTTACACTTAGACAATAATATTACAATGTATGTTATTCCGTAGATGGAGGATAATCAAAGATACATATTGGTTACATTTCGAACTAATGAGGTTATGAGCACTGCTTTTGTAGCCGAATATGAGTTACGTACTAATTTCTGTAAATAAAAGTTCATCCATAATTAGCAAAATGTGTAAATATTAGGTATTATCTGATTCATGTTCCTCTCACAACGCAATTTAAAATCATGCTCGTTATGCGTAACGCGGCTTCATTCTCTGTGACCACAACAGAATGCGAACAATATCTTACCCTTGTCTTCAGATGCTGTGGACGACGCTCGCAAAGCGATTAAATGGGGTACGGACTACTTTCTGAAGGCGCACGTGAGCCCGAACGAATTCTATGGTCAAGTGGGTCAGGGAGGCCCGGACCACGAATACTGGGGACGTCCAGAGGACATGAAGATGGACAGACCTGCGTATAAGATCGACACTTCGCACCCAGGTAAACTTGCATACAAGTAATTCTTTGATGCACGTGAAAAACTTTTATTCTTAGAAGATACAGGAGGAAGCAGCATTATGGATCTGATTCATTACTTCGAAACATGCAATTGGATGACTGTTCGCGGATACTGCAACACCATATACACATTCTTAAGTCATTCTGCGTTATTATCTGTGCTCTTACAGATTCTAAAATGTAAATATGACACTTATTTACAATTAATATTTTGCTGGACATTATCCATCATCTTGTCTGTTCTAATGTCCAGCAAAATATTAATTGTAACAATTTACCATCATCACAAACTTTTAGATCTTATGACACTTATTTGTTAGAGCATCACAAATTCCTCTCTGTACTTTTCAAGGTTCGGACCTGGCCGCTGAAACTGCCGCTGCCCTCGCTGCAGCTTCCATTGTGTTCAAGAGCAGTGACTCCACTTACGCCAACACCCTGCTCACCCACGCCAAGCAGCTTTTTGACTTCGCAAACAATTATCGCGGCAAATATAGTGATTCTATCACCGATGCGAAGAGTTTCTATGCGTAAGTGTTAACAAACCAACTACCTAGCTCCATGGAGTAGAGTCATTCTTGAGACGGTAACAGTCCCTCAGCTAAGTCCACCATAGAAATTCCCCGTCATTTGTGGAAAGCAAAATTTCATTACCGTACTCACTACCGCCGGCCTGTAAGTCCCTGACATGAGCCAGAACAATCCAATTCATAATCTCCCCTAACATATTTCCGTAAGTTTTATTTCAGTGTTCTCCTCCTACTTACGTTTATATCTTTCAAATGGTATCCTCCCTTCAAGAATTCCGACCAAAATCTATATACATTTCTAATACTTTTTTGTATTATTATTCTTATTGAGGTGAGACTGAGTCCACTTAGTACTGCGGCCACTACTGTCCTATTGTACCAGGCCCAGATGATGATGGTGGTGATTTTGAAGCAATTGGTTGAATGAAGATCGACAGGGAAACCGAAGTACTAGGAGAAAACCTGCCCTAGCGCCACTTTGTCCATCACAAATCTCACATGACGAGACCCGCATTCAAACTCGGGCCGCCGCGGCTGGAAGTCAGAGACTAACCGCCTGAGCTATGGCGCGGCCTTGCTATACCTCCATGTGTCCTGCATTTTTTCATTTCACATGATTTGATCATCTCAACAATATTGGTTGAAGAGTAGGCCTAAAAATATGAAGCTAGAAAATATCGAATATCGGGAAGAAATATTCTCTTCTGAATGCAAATTTGATCAAAAAATCTCTGCGCAATTATCACTGTGAAAATTTCTCCATTCTCCTTCCTAGGTGAAAAGAAGCCCTCAGCCACCTCTTCTGGAACATAAGCTAAGTTCTGCCCTTAATATGACAGGCCAAGCTCCACGTATGTAGAAAACAGAGACTAAATTATAGTTCCATTTAATTTTTAGTTTTAGATAGAAGACGGGTAGACAAAGATATTCTGTACTGAATAGCAGCAAACGTGCCCAGAATTTAATCTCCTCCTACTTTCTGTATGAATGAAAGTCTGATATGTTACTATAGTTCCTATGTACATGAACTTTGTCACACTCTCCAACGATCTGTTACCTATGCTTTGTTTTGATTTTGTACGGCTTTCGGGCGATAAGATATAAACATAGGCCTATAAATCAGTTTATCTCTGTTCCCTTCTAGACTAAGCCCTTACTAGGCCGCGCCATAGCTCAAGCGGTTAGTCGCTGGGCAGCCCGGGTTCGATCCCGGGTCTCGCCAAGTGGGATCTGTGGTGGAGAAAGTGGCGCTAGGGCAGGTTTTCTCCGAGTACTTCGGTTTCCTCTGCCAACATTCAGTCCACCAGTTACTCCACAATCACCCTCACCTATCATCTGGGGCTGGTACAATAGGCTAGAAATCGCCACAGTACAAGGGACTTAGTCCCACCCCACTAGCAATAAAAAATGAAACCTTACTCACACTAATAGAGCTTCTGCGTCTTTGTGTTGCTTACGTTTTCTTCCAATAACTTAGCATCGTCAGCATATAATGGAAGCAGAAGTGATGTCTTTCATTTCAATCCATATGATATTAAGCCCCCAGCTTAAAGACTCAGGATATGATAACGTGATGCCAGGTTGAACCTATCGAGTTCAGGGGCATGTGACAGATGAAGTTACAGTAATGACGGAATGACGATTGACAAAGGAAAATTGAAGAAACGCGGAAAAATGTCAGCTCCAGTGCCAAAGGTTCCCAACACAAAATCTCACATGAAGTCATCCGTGGTGAGCATCACGGCCTCAACATTTACACTCCAGTCACATATTGGTACCACTTCCTTGTAGCGCTACAAACACTCTGCACAATTTCCTCGCATTTACGGGGAACTTTAGCATCAGCAAATTGCATACATGCACACATACATACATATATACAGTGATTTACTCGCAGCTCTCAGTAGCTGAGACTTCACAGCGTCAAGTGATATGATGATTAATATAGAGAATTACATATTGGAAAGTACATGAAAGGAAGCGGCCATGGCTTAATTCCAGATATTACCTCTGTGTCACTCCGCGGGGACTGAGGAAAATCACAATAACCCTAGGTGAGTAATGTAAAGCTATCCCTGTACTGGCCGTGAAGGCCCATAGGGTTGTCAGACGTTGAGGGTCCCACATTATCTAGACAATCGGCTCAAAGATGGCGGTAAGGTTGTCAGACTTACGCGCCGGCCGCGCTTTACTCCCAAGGAAAATTATTTTTAATTAATTCCTGGTGTTGTGTTTTAGCGTCCTGTTGCACTGATTTTCTTCCATGATATGTATACAGTTGCCGTCTTGTAGTGCACTCAATTTCACCCGTTACTTCACGACATGTTTCGGCAACATAGTGCCATCATCAGGTGCCCTAATTACGCTAATCTATTTCAGTGCTTGCCTTTATAAAATTAATTAAAAAGTATTTAAAAAGTGCGTATTTGTCAACTATAATAAATTTACACAGACTAAAACTTCTTAAGATTATTCACCTTATGTGTCTTAATTAAAACTTGCGTGTGGTTCTTCCGCTAAGGGGGTCGGTTTTCTTATATTCTGTGTAACCGTGTCTTGTGGTGTGTGTTCCCTTCTTAGCTGCGAGTGTAATTCCTAGTACTCATTTCTGTTAGAGGCTGAGTCGACCCCAGGGCCATAGTGCGGCTGGAAGGATTAGTTCAATTGAAAAAAATCAAATGACCTCATCGGGAACTGAACCCGCGACCTTCCGGTTTGTGCTTCAACTACGCTACGGCGTGCCCCCCGAGTATACCCTGTATAGGTCGATATTTGAGCCCGGACCGTCCTGAATAAAAACCGGGGGAACTGGGCATTCGAACATGATGTTTGGCAATACAATGGCGGCAAATTCTTAATGTTTCTTTTGACAATATTAGTAATGGTGAGGAAAGTTTTGTTCTTCATTAGCTTAATATCCATCCTTCTAATGAAATATCATAGAAATATACTTTTCGCAGATTAACGTAGTAATACCTCTCTAACATATGCTGCTATATTAAATTAACTTGAGAGTATCTAAGGATACAATTCTGATCACAGTGGCCGCGCTGTCTGAGGCATCAATTGTCTTCGTTCGCTCGAATGCTGGGATTGTGGGTTCGAATCCCACTTAAGACATGGTTGTCTGTGTGCGTTTATTCTGTGTTTGTATCGTCCTGCTTGTAAGTTGCACCCTTGCGACGGGCTGATTACGAAACTGAAGAAGAGGCCAGGGCCGAACAAAGGGCTGTAGAGCCATCGATGAATGAATGAATGAAGGATAAAATAATAAATAACGTGGATGTTTGTGCCAGTTTCTCATAATGAAATGTGCTGGTATAAAACAGGTTAATACCTACTCTCCTTCGGAAATTCCCTAATTGTACCCAGTTGTTGAGACGATCCGCTTGTTAAAGGACGTTTCTCTCATTCCATTACAGGTCCGGTGATTATAAAGATGAGCTGGTATGGGGGGCCGTGTGGCTGTACAGGGCAACCAACGACAGCAGTTACCTGACCACTGCTGAACAGCAATACAACGAATTTGGCCTCCAGTATTGGAACGTTCCTTTCACATGGGATGCGAAGTCATCTGCAGTCGAGGTCAGATATATATTGTCACGACTTAGGGGCGATTATAGACCGGGTATGGATTGGTGAATGGATTTATTGACCACTTAAACGCGTACACACCACTCGGAACTACAAGTAATTACAGCGCTATCGCTAATCTCCACGTTTTATAAGTCACTACATGCTAAACCTTCTCCAGCATGCAGTGTCTCCAACAGCCGTTCCCTAGCAACGGCTTCTAATAGTGGAGATTATTAAGCTTCCAGCTCTCGGGTCCTATTTTCACAGCTTCCCGTGCAGAACTGAGCTCTCAACTGACAACTGAACTATAGCGCCATCTCTTCTTAGCCTTCCTTGCAGAGCGCAACTGAACTGGTTGCTTCAAACTGTTCTGCTCATAATATCTCGGTACGGACCATATAGAAAACACGCAGTTACCACAGTAAGTCTACTGTTACGAGGGTATTTGTTTCCGCGGGAACTTGTTTGCCGAGCCGTTGCTCAGAAACGGTCGTCATATATTCGCCTATCTCGCAATCATTGCATAGCAACGGCTGTTATCTCGTTGTTTGTTTCGATGTTATTGCCTAGTAACGGGTCTATACAATCCCGGTCTGGCAAAGTCACATCACGTGTTATGGCAGGACTGGATGTAGGTCCAGGAGATGGGACATTCCGATCCCCTCCCCAAGTAGAAACACAATTTTCTCCCAGTTTCGTCACAATTAATAGCAAGAATTTCCCCGACACTATGACGAAAACAATCACTGGAATCATGATTCTTAAATCAGTTTAATCTGAGTTCTTGCGGAACACGTTTAGATGATTACAAATTAAAGGCCACGATACGAAAAAATAAGCACCAAAAGCTGGTTTCCATTTAACAAATTTAAGAAAGAAAAGAGCCTGCATAACGTGACGTCCCCAAAGTCGAGCCAAGAGGAGAACATTTGATTCATTCGTGCCTTCGCTTCAGCACCGTGACAGGGTATCATGACTTCAATTTTCATTCCGCAATCCAATGAGAGACGAAGACTATCATCATGTGGCAAAGGATAACTTTTTTCCGTCTTTGTATGTGCCTCCCAAACAGAAGGCATACCGCAAAATGCTTTTCCGTCCTCATTACGTAGTCGATTTCGACGAATGACCATATAATGGACATAAGAGTACAGTAAACTTCATTGAGAAATTTTAGTACTGATTTCATTTTACAGGCTATATTAAGAAAGGAAACAAATTTTAAGGATTTACTTTCGGAACGCATAGAAAAGGTCTGATAATAATCCATGCGATACACTTCTGTTTCACCAAAATCATCGTTTGTAAATTTCGTTCACTCAAACCGTCTTTAAGAACCACTTGCCCATACATCAAAATGAATTGTTAGGTATACTTTTGGATCACATGAAGGAATTTCATGGCATACGCAGCATTTCAATTCTAAGAGCTTTTGGAACTAACATGTGTAAGCTTCATTCGCTTTAATACATATTAATAACTACTTTTAACAAGGACTTAAATACTTTCTTGGTAGTATATACTTATTACTTTAACGGATAAACGGCTCTTTCAATATCCGTTCCTCTCTTTAAACTATACGTGACAACGAATTGTGTTTGTACAAGTGTCACTGATTTGAAGAAAACGACTAATGTAGTAATAAGCACTTATGACGTGCCACATAATGCACGCCTGCTAGATTTAGATTGCTTGTTGTATTCTGTCAGGCATTCAAAGAACCAAATGGCGTCCTGAGGAACTTCTGTCGTTCTTCTTTTATTGTCTACGTTTCTACTCCTAATTTAAATACAGCAAAACAACTATATTTTTATGGAAATTTATATAAAGTATTTTACCCTTTGGGAAATTCACAATCATAGCTGACATCTGATCGCCCGAAAAACAAAATATACATGAATCAGCGACTAAAATCATAAAATTCTGAGACACAGCTTAAGGTAAAATTGTCCCTGTGCTCAAGTAGTTAAGCACTACGTCATGAAGGCGTAAGGAGGAGTGGATGCATAGACCAAAATTTTCTTTACCTCGGCACTAGTTGGAAGCGAGTGGTCAGCTTCACGCTCCTGCCGCGTTACCCTCGGGGGAAGAGCACCCGGTATCCATTAGATAGCAGGTTGGGTTTCTGAGAAACCATATGCTAATTTTATTGATAAGAAAGCTAGCGCAAAATGGGATCTGGGAAAATCACATTTGCGCTCCTTCCGACAGCTGATTCCTCCGCGACGGCTGCGGCCGGTGTGTCGACGCCGGTCGCACCGTCCTTAGCATATGTCAGCTCCCAAGCTCAGAAGAAATGAGATTACCAAAAGTGTACGTAACGAAAATATAATGAACGCCACACAGATTAACCTGTCCACAATTAACTACTGTGTGAAATATTTGCAGGTTGTCCTCGCTAAGGTTACAGGGAAACAGAATTACAAAGACAGGGTGAAGTCATATTGCGACTCTCTCATCAGTAAACAGAGGACACCCAGAGGCCTCACATTCCTCGATACATGGGGGTCCCTGCGAATGGTTGCGAATGCGGCCTATCTTTGCTTCCAGGTAATCACCGTTTACTTACTTCATATTCATTTAGTCTATATTAACTTGTTCAAATGTTGTGATTGGGGGAGCATGATAAGGGGAACCACATGACAAAATTTACTCCAAATAAAAATGGAAGACGAACAGAATCACTTAGGCGCTACTCCATGGAGGCGTATGGGGGAGTGTGTATATAGAGCAACATTGTCTTGATCTCGGTATTAGGTGGAGGTGTGTGGTCAGCTTCACGCACCTGCCGCTTTACCCCCGGGGAAAGAGACCCCGGTACCCATTGAATAGGAGGTTGGGTGGACCCCAGAGCCGATCTGGACGACGTGGAGAAGAGAAAATTCTTCACTCTACCGGGACTGGAACTCCGACCCATCGGTCACCCAGACCGTAACCAATCGCTGTACCGACTACGCTCCCGGCTCCTGTTATGTGTGTTATATACGTCATAACTGTGCATGTCCGCATAGTTCAGTAGAACTAATTTTATACTTATTCCACAATCCATTCTACGAAAAAAATATAAAAAATATATGAATGAAGACAACACTACATGAAACATGTGAAAATTGCCAAAAGTGTATTTAAGTACCACACCTCATCTAGAAGACCTACAGGCTACCATATACTGAAATCGAAGTCCAAGTCACATTGCAACTGACGGTTAGGATAAAAGTGTTCATATGAAGGACAGCTTGTACGAGGACCTAGAACATTTATTTGCTAAATTCCCTAAATGCAAATCAAAATTTTGTTAGGAGATTTCAATGTCAATGTAGGTACGGAATATATTTTCAAACCAATTGGGAATGAGAGTTTGCACAATATTAGTAATAATATTAGCGTTAGAATAGTGAACTTCGCCCCATCGAAGGGTATGAACATCAAGAGTATAATATTGTGAC